TTTAATGAGCAGTAAATCTAGACAGACATTTCTCAAAGGAAGACACATAAATAGCCAAAAAATACAAGGAAAAAGAATGCTCAAATCATTAGGGAGCTATAAATAAAAACTGTGAGAGATCACCTCATCCCAGTCAGGATGACCATTAAGACAGAAATGCTGGTGAGTGCATAGCAAAAAGGAAACCCTTGCACACTGCTGGTAGAAACGTAAATTAATACAGACATTGTGGGAAATAGTATGAAGGTTCCTTCAAAAAAATAAAAATAGAACTTCCATATGATCTCACTGCTGGGTATATATCCAAAGGAAATGAAATCACTCTGTCCGAGACATCTGCTGCCCCGTGTTAATTGCAGCACTATTCAGAAGAGCCAAGAAATGGAAGCAACCCACAGATGAGTGAATGGATAAAGAAAATGTGGTACATATACACAATGGAGTAGCATTCAGCCACAAAAGGGATGAAACTCTTCATGCATAGCTTGGTGGCCACTACGCTATGTGAAACAAGCCAACATAGAAATACAAATATGATCCCACTTACATGTGAAATCTGAAATAGTTGATCTGGGGTTGGCATTGTGATGCCGTGAGTTAAGTCCATGGGATCTCAGATGGGAATTCTGGTTCAAGACCCAGCTGCTCCACTGCACATCCAGCTCTCCGCTAATGTATCTGGGAAGGCAGCAGAAGATGACTCAAGGGCTTGGGCCTCTGTCACCCATGTGGGAGACCAGAGTGGAGTTCCCGGCTCTTGACTTCAGCCCGGCCCAGCCCTGACAGCTGCTGCCACTTGGGAAGTGAACCAATGGATGGAGAACCGATCTCTCTCTCTCTCTCTCTCTCTCTCTGGCATTCTGTCTTTTCAAATTAATAAATAAGTCTTTTTAAAAAATTTTAAACTTCATCTTATAGAAGTTGAGAGTAGATTGGTGGTTATCGGAGGCTGGAGAGAGTAGAGGGGAGGGCAGGATGGAAGGAAGTTCATTAATGGGTCCTGCGCGATACTTCAACAGCAAAGAGAAGTTCCGGCATTGTATGCCATAGTAGGATGACTGCAGATGACAACAGTGTGCTGTATTTTTGAAAAGAAAGCGAGAGAGGATTTTGAATATTTTCATCATAAAGAGATGATAAACAGTTGAGGAGATAGACGTGTTTACTCTGGTTTGAACATTTCACACATGTGCATCTGTCAAGACACCACATGGTACCCCATGAATATGTACAACTTTTATGTATCAGTTAAAAATTTTTTTAAAGAATCCATGTAGTCTCAATGAATGACATCTGCTCTGACATTCCCCCCCGCTCCTGTCACCCTCCATCAGTCGGTGCCTATGAAGGTTTGTCACTTTTGCTATTGATTTGTCACTTTTGTGGTTGATTTTCCCTGTGTTACGGAAGTACCAAGAATGTGCGATTTTTTTATTTCTCCTACAATCTTACTACCTCCCCACTGTAAATTGAGAAGCTTGCGATGACTGTGAGTGCTCCTACTGATAAAGTCAAGCTATGAACAAAGGCTTAACTAGATATTGTAGACCCCCAAAGCAAACCCTTCAGAAAGATCTAAAATAAAGAGGTCTCCAGTTCCCTCCTGAACGAGATAGGCCCTGTGACTGTAATTTATACCTAAAGAGAGAACGTGTACAGGGAGCCAAGTATTTATTGATTTGTGCATTTTCTTCTCTCAAAGCTGACCTGGGGGCCGGCGCTGCGGCTCACTAGGCTAATCCTCCGCCTTGCAGCGCCGGCATACCGGGTTCTAGTCCCGGTCAGGGCGCTGGATTCTATCCCGGTTGCCCCTCTTCCAGGCCAGCTCTCTGCTGTGGCCCGGGAAGGCAGTGGAGGATGGCCCAAGTACTTGGGCCCTGCACCCCATGAGAGACCAGGATAAGTACCTGGCTCCTGCCATCGGATCAGCGCGGTGTGCCGGCCCCAGCGGCCATTGGAGGGTGAACCAACAGCAAAAAAGGAAGACCTTTCTCTCTGTCTCTCTTTCTCTCACTGTCCACTCTGCCTGTCAAAAAAATAAAAATAAATAAATAAATAAAATTAAAAAAAAAAAAGCTGACCTGGATCAACTTAGAAATTAGCGCTACTTTAAGAAAAGTACGCCGGCGCTGCGGCTCACTAGGCTAATCCTCCGCCTAGCGGCGCCGGCACACCGGGTTCTAGTCCCGGTTGGGGCGCCGGATTCTGTCCCGGTTGCCCCTCTTCCAGGCCAGCCCTCTGCTGTGGCCCGGGAGTGCAGTGGAGGATGGCCCAGGTACTTGGGCCCTGAACCCCATGGGAGACCAGGAAAAGCACCTGGCTCCTGGCTCCTGCCATCGGATCAGCGCGGTGCGCCGGCCGCAGCGCGCCGGCCGCGGCGGCCATTGGAGGGTGAACCAACAGCAAAGGAAGACCTTTCTCTCTGTCTCTCTCTCTCACTATCCACTCTGCCTGTCAAAAAAAAAAAAAAAAAGAAAAAAAAAGAAAAAAAAAAAAAAGAAAAGTACTTATCCTCAGCAGATCTGTGGCTCTTTCAACAAGTTGAGGGCTGGTGTCTTCCTCACTGGTTGTCGCTGTCCTCCAGCCTTTGTGTACTGAGCCTTGGATTGACTGCAGCGTTTTTGTTTGTTTGGTCCATTGAGCTTTTATTTGTATGCACGTGTTACATACCTAGAAAGAGAATCTCAGGGTTTTCCCTCCTGTGTGTTTTCGTCCTGCTTCCTCATGGTCCATGATGCCAGCTGAGGTTGTCAGTACAAGGAAACCAAACCGGCGGGCTGGAAGCAGATTATTCTGCCATTTTTCTAGATCTTTCAACAACACGTCAAATCTGGGGCTGATCACTCCACACTTGCCAGTGAGTTCACAACAATCTTCCCAGCTCTGTGCTCATCAGTGATTTCAAATTCGCCGACGTAACCGTGCTTCATCATCACAGTCAGACACCTGACGATGACTTTGGAGCACGGCCTAATGAGAACCTGGCGTTTGCCTCTTTTCTCAGCACTGTTGATGCTCTTGAGAGCACCGGCCAGGATGTTCCTGCACACCATCACGGCTGCACGGAAAGATGGAGGAAAGAGTGGACTGCAGCCTTTAACCTATGGATCGAAGCTCTGTACTGGAGGCAAACTGCTAGCTACTAAAACAGGTCTTGACCTACTTCTCTTCTTCCATGTATCTTTTTCTTTAATGTTTGTTTATCTGCATACCCTCAAAAGGCAGAGCCCACATGGGTGAGCGAAAGAGCTTGATCTTCCATGCCCCGCCCACAACAGCCAGAACTAAACCAGATTAAAACCTGGTCTTCCACGTGGATGCCAGGGACCCAATCACTCAAGCCTCCCAGGCACATTAGCAGGGAGCTGGATGGGAAGCAGAGGAACTGAGACGCGAACTGGCACTCTGACATGGCAGGCAAGTTTCAAACAGCAGCTCAAACTGTACCACATCACTCACCTCTTTCATATATCTTTGATACTGGCTCAAAGACAATTACGCGATTCTTTGGCTGCCCTGTTGTAGAAGTGCGGTGGGCACAGGCTGTACGTAGGACCAGACTGGGCTGAGGTCCCTTTACACCCCTGGTTCTCTGAGTGACTTTGTGCAGATGATCTATCCCTCTGGACACTGGGTAACTAGGGCAACGCCAATGGCTCTTCTTGTGGATTTCCCTGAAGATGATAAAATTACCAGAAAATATGCTCCCACTTCTCCCGAAAGGGGGGTGAGGATGCTGACACTATCCATGGACCCCTTCTGCAGCGTGGCATCCAGTTACCAGCCACTTTGGAACAAGGGAGAAATTCCAGAAAGCACTGGGGATGTGGCCATTGACTAGCATCTATGTTCTTTGTTTCATGTGGTTTCTATTTATTTACAGAGCGCCATGGTTATTCATGATGCTTTACAAACCATGAAAGCAAGGTCTCCACCCTATAGAATTTACAGTGTAATTTAAACAGACATGCTGCATGGGCTGACAGGTCAGGCACGCCAGGAGATGGTGTTGGTGTTGTATAACATGGGTGTGGAGGGTTTTTTCTTGAGTTATAAATACTTTCCAGTTACAAGGGCCTTTCATCTGGGATCCCCAAGCACTTTAGAATAGCAATAACCTCGATTGCTTTCTAAATGCACTTTCCATAAACTGTTGTGGGGACTAAGTAAATGCTTTTAAATGTCTATTAATTGATCTGTGGACCTGTTCATTGTCTGTATTAAACAGCATGGATGTAAACACGATGGTTTAGGAGAGGCCCGTTCTGGGCTGTGGTCTGGCTGTGCAGAGATTACAACCCCACAGAGGCCTGGTAACCTTGCCACAGCCTCGGAAGGACCAGATGGATGCCTGCGTATTTTCCCAGGCAAGATACTCACTTGGCCTAGACTCAGAAAGATCACTTCCTGGGGCCCTGCTTCACTGCTTATGGGAAAGTTCACATTTCGAAGTCAAGTGAGCTCAGAGAAAGAACTTCCACTGGGGACACTTGGAGTAAGTACTCAACTAATGCCAGTAGTTCTCATTCAGGTCCCTGTCATTCCATCACGTTCCTCTTAGGATGCATTACTCTCTTTCTTAAGTAATGGCTTCTTTCTTCTTCTTCTTTTTTAATTTTAATTTTCATTGTATTTGAAAGGCAGTAAGAGACAAAGAAAGATCTTCCATCATCTGGTTCACTCTTCAAATGCACACAACAGCCAGGGCTAAGTCAGGACAGAGCCAGGAACCAAAGAATTCAATCTGAGTTTCCCACATGGGTGGCGGGGGTCCAAGTGTTTGAGCCACCATCCACTGTCTCCCAAGCTACACATTAGCAAGAAGCTGGATCAGAAACTGGGGGCAGGGACTTACCCCAGGCACTCGGTATGGGACACAGGTGTCTCAAGCAGTAGCTCAACCTGCTGGACCATAACACCCACCCCTCAGGCAGTATCTTAACCACTCCAAGCAGTGGCATTTTCAAAATGGTAATATTATACCTCACTTCCTCTTCTAGGTCTCAATCAAAAGTCACTCAACAAATTATTATCCCTGACCCATTTGACAAGTTCATTCAAGACTGGCCTGGGGGGACCAGCATTGTGGCATAGGACATAAAGGTATGACCTGCAGGGCTGGCATCCCATATGGGCACTGATTTGAGTCCTGGCTGCTCCACTTCCAATCCAGCTCTCTGCTAATGACCTGGGAAAGCAGCAGAAGATGGCCCAAGTGCTTGGGCCCCTACACCCATGTGGGAGATCCAGATGAAGATACTGATCCCTGGCTTCAGTCTGGCTCAGCCCCTGCCATTGTGACCACCTGGGAAGTGAACAGATGGAAGATTCTCTCTCTCTCTCTCTCTCTCTCTCTCTCTCTCTCTCTCTCTCTCTCCCCCTCTCCCTCTCTCCCTCTCTCCCTCTCTCCCTCTCCCCCTCTCTCCCTCTCTCCCTCTCACTCTTGCAAGTCCTGAGAGTTGACCTTGAAATTTGAGATGAGGATCCACCTTCCACCCATCCTCAATCAGCTTTTCAGAGTGCCCATCCTAAACACCCATCTGGAATCGCATCACTCTCTGCTTTAAAAACCCCACCTGAAGAATAAAACCCACGGTGCTGCAACAAGGGAGATGCAACCTTTGTGGCCTTGGGCAGCCCACCTGCCTCTCTGGTCTCATCCCTGTCCACATAACCCATGGCTTTGGCCACATCAGAAGACACCTCTCCCCCAGAGAACTCCAGCGTTCCTGTACCTGCCCCCTGCCAGGTCCTCCTCGCTATCCTCTTACATCTTCCCAGCCTACTCCAGTGCCTCCGTCTGGGAGCTTCCATGATGCCCACCACCGCCCACCATGCCTCTGCCACCCGTGTGTGCTCCCTTCTTGCCCAGAGCATGCACTGACGCCGCCTCCATGAACACGGCCATCCTGGGTGCTTCTGGAGCCCAGGGGTTGTAGCTGATGTTGCAATCCCTCAGGAAAGCTTTGTGGAAGGCTCCTTTTTGCACTCTAAAGGGGCAGTGAAGGGGAAGGGTGAGGGGAGCTGTTGTGGCCCAAGAGCCCTGGAAACTATTTGGAAGTCTACTTTAATAGGGGTTTTGTCTCACCTGCTAGGAGGAGGTCACTCCATGCTAATGCTGTGACTCTGAAGTGCTAAATTTAGTTTTTGCTGCACCTTTGGGGCAAGTTGTTCTTCGATTGCAGTCAAACATACATAACATAAAGTTGCCATTTTGGTGGTGGGCATCACAGGCAGGAGAGGCCACTGCTTGCAAACCCCACATCCCATATTGGAGTGCGCCAATGTGAATCCCAGCTACTCCGCTTCCAATCCAGCTCCCTGCTGATACGTCTGGGAAGCAGCAGATGATGGCTCGAGTACTCGAGTCCCTGCCACCCACACGGAAAACTCAGATGGAGTTTCTGGATCCTGACTTCGGCCTGGCCCAGCCCCAGCTGTTACAGACACTGGGGAGTGAATCAGTGGATGAAAGCTCCTCTCTCTCTCTCTCTCTCTCTCTCTCTCTCTCTCTGTGTGTGTGTGTGTCACTCTGCCTTTCAAATAGATTTTTTAATTACCATCCTAATCATTTTAAGTTCATAGTCCACTGGCATTAAGTACAGTCACATTGTTGTGTATCCAACTCCAAAACTTGGTCTTCTTCCCAAACCAGAACTCCTACCAATTAAACACTTCTTTCAAGTCTGCCCCACCACCACCCCTGGCAACCAGCATTCTACTTCTCTCTCTAGGAATCTGACTACTTGAAGTACCCCACGTAAGTGGACTCATACAGCGTCTATCCTGTTGTGTCTGGTTTATTTCTCTGAGTATATGCCTTCAGGGTTCATCCATGACACAGCACCTGCCGAACCCCTACCCGCTCTCCAGCTGAGTGATATTCCATTGGAGGAGTACACATTCCACCCTGTCAAGGGACATCTGTGTTGCTCCCACATCTCAGCTCTTGCGGACACTGCGTCTCTGAACGTGGGTGTTCGGAGAGCTCTTTGAGACCCTGCCTTCACTTCTTTGCGGGCAATCGTCAGCAGTAGAATCACTACACCAGGAGACAAGGCTATGTCCAATTGCTCAGTAGGCGCATACGTGTTCTGCAGAGGCTGCACTGCTCTACAACGCTGCCAAGAGTGCCAGGGAGTCCAGTTCCTTTACATCCTCGTCGACACTTTTGTTTTCTGCTGTCTTTTGTTTTTTTGGTTTTTGTTTGTTTGTTTTTGTTTTTGTTTTTATAACAGCCATCCTCCTAGGTGGGAAGCAGGATCTCATTATGGTTCCGTTTTGAACCTCTGCAATCACTGTGTGCATTTCCCAGAGGTACTTCCTCCTGTGGGCCAGCAGGGGGCACTCCCATGAGACTGCGAGGGTAGATGAGCATGACAGATGACGGAGTGGCTCACTCTCCCAGGTGGTAGCAGGGACAGAGATCATTGACCTTCTCTCTGTGCTTCTCACAGTGTCAGCATCAAGGAGAACCAAAGAGCCTGGGCCACAGTAGTGTTTCTCAAAGGGGGTACCACTGGCACCCCAGTGAGACAGTCCTTCATTATGCAGTACAGTCTCATATTGTACCTTTAGCATCCTGGGCTTCTGCTGGAGGACAACTCAAGTTGTGACAACCCAAATGCCCCCCATCTACACTTCCATGGACCCCCCCAAGCCTCCCCCGCCACCCAAGTCCAGGGATAGGAGCTGTCCAATTAAGAACCAGGTATGCAAAGAAAACTGGCGATTCCCAGCATCCTCCACTCACTCAGGCAATGAAGCCTGGTGTCCAGACCAGAGCTGGGCGGTGCTCAGCTGAGGGAACCAGCACAGGTGGCTTGAGGTGACCCCCACGGCTCCTAGAGACTGTTAACAGCTGGCTGACGGTGACTGGCTGTTGTATCAAGAGAAAAGGGAAGGCTTTCTCTAAAAGCAAGATGAGCACAGAAACAGGGGAAAAAAACAAAACAAAACAAAACAAAACAAAACAAACAAAAAAAACAACCAGCACGGCCCCCATAAGCAGGACCTGCCATCGGAGCCTGGTCCCTTCCGCGGGCGTCCCTTTGACCGCGCCCCCCACCCCAGTGAAGGAACGCTGCTGCCCTGGGCAGTGTGTCTGCCTTGCCTCCGCTGGGTTACTGGCCTTCCCGGCCCCGGGCTGCCATGGCAACCAGGAAACAACCTCGCTCCCAAGGAGGAGGTTGCGCTGCGGGCCAGATCCGCAGTTGCACGGGGCTGGCCCGTAGCAAAGCAACCAGCGCCCCCGGGACAACAAGGGCTCCGGGAAGGGAGCGAGGGGCTGCCCAGAGTAGCCACCCCGGGGGGGCGCGAGGAGTCTGGCTCTGCGGTTTCTGTTTTCTCTCCACAAAGATCCACACTGTCTAAGCTGTGTGGCTGGTTGTTCGGAGGAAGCTGCTGTCGGGTGGGGTGGGGGTGTGGGGAGCGTCTTCCACAAAGGCCCAGTGTTCGTGGTCCTCTCGGGCCTGGGGCTGAGCTTTGGAAACCTTGAGGTGTGACCAGTGTTCAGCCTTCAAGACCAAGATGGACTGCCCTTGAGCAGGGGTGGTCGGAGGCAAAACATGTTCCCGCTCTCCCTCCTGAGCCGGGGCCACGGGAAGCTGGTGCGCAACAAACAGAAGCTGGAAGTCTACTTTGAACCAGAGGTGAGGCCCACAGCTGACCAAAGGGGCAGGGGGGGATGCTCTGTGTGCCCACCTGGGGGGCTTGTTTGTGTTGTTAGGGAGCAGCGGGGGTCCCTAGTAGCTCTTCCTTCTTCCTTCATGAAACTTAATAATAATAATAATAACAATAACAACACTGTTTGCCTGATGCTCCCACATCACCACGGGGCCCTCTTCTTCCACTCTGACGCACGCGCTGGCCCTCTCTGCCCAGACAGAAGGAGACTTCAGATTGTCTGGAATCAGGATGGTTTGGTTCAAGACCAGAATCCCCACCTGGGTTCTAGGCGAGCTGATGGCTGTTTGGCTTGTGGAAGTCATGCTCTGCGGTTGAAATGCTGTGTGTGTTCGTGCTGTTTCAATGGCTTCCTTGAACGTTCTGGAATTCAACTCACAGGACTCACATTTAATATCGGCCAAAGAAAATCTCATATGAGGAGATTTTAAAGAGGTGGCAAACTTACCTTGTTGTACTGGAATTTTACTTCTTTGACTCCTGCCAGCAGTAAGGAATCCATTGGGGGCATTTTGCAAATTTGGGGGTCATACAGAGATTTCCATTGTCATGGTAGTTTGTCATGATATTTGACCTTTGCTGTGTTAAAAGACATATAAAGTTTCAAAGGCTCTCTCTGGCCAATGGTATCTATTTACTTACAAGATATGTAGCCACTTTATGGGCTCCCCAATAGCCAAATTAGGTAATGTTACATAGCATCTGGAATGTATAGAAATTCACCCTGTGTTCAGCTAAAGCAATGGTAGGTTGGAATGGTTTCCCCCTATTTAAACTGCCAGCCAGTTCGGGTCTAATTTCAAAGTTATGTGCTGCCCTTGATAATTCTGAGTACTTACTTGCATACCAAAAAACTTCGACTGGCCCGAAACTTGCACTCCACCCCATCTAAGCCCCAGGCCTGAATGGCTCTCCTCAGAGCTCTGTGGAGCAAACTAGAACCGGGCCCTGGGATTTCAGAATTTTGCAATGTAGAGACGAAATAGAGCCAGAAAGTCCCATCACGCCCTGTGAACATTTCAGAGAGAACCAGGAACTAAAACATTGTCAAACACCTTGCGCCCGCAGGAGTTGCTCCAGGAGGCTCTCCCCCGGGGGCCCAGTCCAAGTGGTTTCTTCTCCTTGCAGGATTACTTGAACTGGAAGTCCCCGGAAGACTATGTCCTGGTCAGCAAACCTCAGGACAAGGACGACGCCAGCCAGCATGCCTGGAGCCTCTTTCTTCCCAAAACTTTCAGCACTAGAAAGGGTGCCTTGATCCTCTACTCAGAAGGGTTAGCCATATCGGCATGGGCACCCAAAGACAGGAGCAAAGGCCCCTACGACCCCAAAAGTCACGGGAGGAGGCCTGCTCTGGAACTGCACACGCTCCACGACCTCAAGGAAGCCATCCTGGCCTATGGACGGAGGCGGGTAAGCCGAGCAGTCCCTGGGTTTGGAGGAAGCACAGGCCTGCGTGCCTGCGTGCCTCCAGCTGGTTAGACCCCAGACCTCCATTTCTCCCATAGGAGTGTCCTCTTGGCCGTATGCCGTTGTCACGAGGCTTGGATGAGATGACTGACAAGGGGCTCTGAAAAGCGTAAAGGCTCATCATCACTGTGTGTTTTCCTTTCCGTTATAGTAACAAAGTCCTAGTCAGCCTCCAGACGGAGTCAGGCCAGCAGGCGTTTCATCAGAGCCCTGAAATTCTACCTCCCAGCCACAAGCGTCCCCAGTCCACCTGTGGTGTTCTCAGCTTTGCAAAGGAGGGGAGAATGTTTGAAATATTTACCTTAAGCCGTTCGCAGTCTGCAGGATAAGTTAATGCCTTTTCCCATTCTGAATTCAATGTTAAGTAAGAACTCCTGTGTTCGTTTTGTTTTGTTTTGTTTTTAATTTATTTGAGAGATAGAGTTACAGACAGTGAGAGAGGGAGAGACAGAGAGGTCTTCCTTCCGTTGGTTCACTCCCCAACTGGCTGCAACGGCCAGAGCTGCACCGCCACAGCGCCGGCCCTGTGTTCATTTTTCTGATTCACACTTCCTCTGTCTTGTGCGACGTGCGTGTGGCCCCTGCTTTCTGTAACTGCGTGCGGTAGCTTCGGCTGAGGCCCTCAGACAGTCTGGGACAACGAGTCACTCTAAAACTAGGTTACAGATGGAGGGTTACTCCCAGTTTGAAAGTATCCGCTGCCTGCTCATTCCCTCCAGGAGAAAGTCATTAGCTTCTTCTTCTTCTTCTTTTTTTTTTTTTAAGAGTTATTTATTTATTTGAAAGATAGAGTTACAGAGAGGCAGAGAGAGAGAGAAGTCTTCTACCTGCTGGTTCACTCCCCAAATGGCCGCAATGGCGGGAGCTCATCTGAAGCCAGGAGCCAGGAGCTTCTTTCCTGTCTCCCACATGAGTGCAGGGGCCCAGGGACTTGGGCCATCCTCCTCTGCTTTTCTCAGGTGGATTAGCAGGGAGCTGGATCAGAAGTGGAGCAGCTAGGACTCGAACCTGTGCCCATATCGGGTTGCTGGCACTGCAGGCAGCGACTTAACCTTCTGGCCCCAGGCATTAGCTTCTGACACCCAGTCTTTCACACACTGGCTTTCTCCTCCACATCTGGTCGCATCTCCAACTTGTTCCTACCACCACTTCAACCATGGAGCCCTCGAGCTCTGCCCATGTGACTAGTTCATTCCCCAACACCCATGCTCGCTCATGCTCACTGTAGTCTTTCCTAAGTTCCTACATTTGGCAAACTCTTGCTCACTCTGCAAAACTCAGCTCAAACGGCACCTCCTCACTGAAGCCTGCCCCGTTTCCCTGGCTCCCTCCTCCACAAACGTCCACAGGCCACCATGCATTCAGGCTTCTCTCTTCCACCACCTGTCTTCCTGATGGAATAACATCTTCAGGGCAGGGACCGTGTCTAAATCACTTCTAGAAAATAGTGCGCACCCCTAAATGCTTTCGGAATGCATGACTTGGTCACACGTGATACTTTGGATGTTTCTTTTTATAACAGAACATCTTTAAAAAAATTGTTTTCATGTTATTGGAAAAACAGAGAGAGAGGGAGAGATAGATGGGGAGAGAGCCTCTACCCTCTGATTCACTCCCCAAAAGCCTGCAACAGCTAAGTCCAGACCGGGTTGAAGCCAGGAGAACAGAACTCCAGTTGAGTCTTCTATGTGGGTGTCAGAGACCCAAGCGCTTGAGCCACCATCTGTTACCTCCTAGGGTGCATATTAGCAGGAAGCTGGACTGGAAGTGGGGTAGCCAGGACTCCAGCCCCGGGCCTCCAGTATGGGATGCTCCAACATGGCACCCCCAGCAGTGATTCAAGCACTCGCTTCTGTGTTTCTCGAATCACGTCCCGGTATAGTTATGGGGAAATTCATTATCTCCCTGCACCCTAGACATGGCTTCCCATATTTCACAATAGAGATACTTGACGACCTTGATAAAATGCCCAATTGTCTTTTATCTTAAAAACCGTATTTTTTAAAAAGATTTATTTATTTTGAAAGTCAGAGTCACAGAGAGAGAGAGAACAGTCTTCCATCTCCTGGTTCATTCCTCAAATCAGGAGCCAGGAGCTTCCTCTGGGTTTCCCACATGGGTGCAGGGGCCCAAGTACACGGGCCATTTTATGCTGCTTTCCCAGACACATTAGCAGGGAGCTGGATTGGAAGTGGAGCAACTAGAACTCGCATCAGCACTCATCTGAGATGTCAGCACTGCAGGCGGCGGCCTAACCTGCTGTGCCACATGCGACGCTGGCCTGAGATACGAGTTCTCCTGCCCCCTTTTACAGAAGAGGAAACTGAAGCTCAGGGTGTTAGGTGACTCACCCAAGGCCACAGAGCTGGTCAGTGACAGGGCCAGGATTCAGACCTGGGACTCCCGACCTCTCCAGGGCTTACGTGCTTGGCTTTTTACCCTGTTGTCTGTGAGCTTCAAGTGGCTCTAGCAGTCACTCTGCCTGGCCTTGGCCTGTCAGCCCCCCAGAGTCCCTCCAAGCCTTCCCATGCTTATCAGGGAGGTTGAACCCAGGCTATATACAATTCCACAAACTTCTGTGCCAACTAGCTTGTGGCTGAGTTAGTCAATGGGATAAGACATGGGGAGATTGGAGAAGGAGAAGGGGAAATCAGAATACTTCTCCCTGGGCCGGCGTCGCGGCTCACTAGGCTAATCTTCTGCCTGCAGCGCCAGTACCCCGGGTTCTAGTCCCAGTTGGGGTGCCAGATTCTGTCCCGGTTGCTCCTCTTCCAGTCCAGCTCACTGCTGTGGTCTGGGAAGGCAGTGGTTGGCCCAAGTCCTTGGGCCCTGCACCTGCATGGGAGACCAGGAGGAAGCACCTGGCTCCTGGCTTCGCTGGCCGTGGTGGCCATTTGGGGGGTGAAGCAACGGAAGGAAGACCTTTGTCTCTCTCACTGTCTAATTCTGCCTATCCAAAAAAAAAAAAAAAAAAAAGAATACTTCTCCCCCGCTACTCTGCTGCAGGTGACAAGAGCATCCACATCGCTGCTGCGGTCCAGATCCCAATAGACAGACAGGCCCCCTGTGTCCCCAAGCTCCTCTTGGGACCTCCCAGCTCCTCCCCCATCCTCCATCCTCAGGGTGGTGCCGGCTTCCCAGTGTTACTGGATCTCAGTGTTGCCTCACCTTCTGTTCGGTTTCTGAACACTCCAATCCCCTGTGTCACCAATTCCCTAAATTAAATTTCTTCTGCGTGTAAACACGTAGAGTAGGGACTGGTGTGGTGGTGTAGTGGGTGAAGCTGCCACTTGAAATGCCGGCATCCCACATGGGCATTGGTTCTAGTCCCAGCTGCTCCACTTCCGATCCAGCTCTCTGCTATGGCCTGGGGAGTGCTTGGGTCCCTGCACCCAAGTGGGAGACCAGAAGAAACTCCTGGCTCCTGGCTTCAGATTGGCACAGCTCTGGCCATTGCAGCCCTTTGGGGAGTGAGCCAGCAAATGGAAGACTTTGTCTGTGCCTCTGCCTCTCTGTAACTCTACCTATCAAATAAATAAGTAAATCTTTAAAAAAACACTTAGTTGCTGTTTCCCTGCTGGACACTGACATACATAAGTTAACTTCCTGCCCAGCATAAGAGTGCCTGCCAAAGCTTTCAGCTGCGAGTCTGTAAGGCTAATGAGTTTGAGCAACAGGATCCTCCTGGTTTATAAAGTAGATGAGCCCATGTTGAGACAGCCTCATTGCAGCTTTGATTTGGTCTCAATGGAAACAAGAAGTTCTTGTCTTCCTTTGGTATGCATCCACCAGATTTATAGCTCAGATCTGCGCAACACAGACGCTGTAGTCTAACTCTACATGTGTGCAAGGCAAACGGCATGAAGTCAGAAAGGAAAGGTTTGGAATGGTAACAGGACAGGCATGTAAGAGTAGAGGACATAGATTAAAAGAAGGGGGAGTGGCCGAAACTGTGGTGTAGTGGGTAAAGCCACCACCAGCAGTGCCAGCATCCCATAGGGATGCTGGTTTGAGTCCTGGCTGCTCCACTTCCGATCCAGCTCTCTGCTATGGCCTGAGAGAGCAGTAGAAGATGGCCCACGTGCTTGGGCCCCTGCACCCACATGGGAGACCTGGAAGAAGCTCCTGGCTCCTGGCTTCAGATCGGCACAGCTCCAGCCATTGCGGCCAATTGGAGAGTGAACCAGAGGATGGGAGACCTCTCGCTCTCTATCTCTCCTTCCCTCTGCGAGTAACTCTGCCTTTCAAATAAATAAATAAATCTTAGAAAAGAAAAGGATAGACTGGTAAAGAACTTCTAAAATTCCTAACACCCAGAGCTGGGCGCGCCATGGGAAAGAGGAGCTGCTTCAGAGGTACAAATCCACATGCGCTTTCTGGCAGAAGCTTAGGGAGAGCTGAGACTGTTCAGCATTCCACTCTCAGGAACTTGCCCCAGGAAACAGACTCATGCCTAAGAACGATTGCTATAGGATTATTTATTACTCTGCAAAACACTGAAAACAATAAATGCCCAACAATGGAACACCAATTAAATGCGTTATCCACATAATAGATTTTGGGTCAGGCAATAAAGTCATGTATTAGTCATAGCAATGTGAGAAAATAGACAGTGTATGTTTTTAAATCCAGTGTTTATATAATAAAAATACCATTGTGTACCAACAGGTTTTGAGCATTTAATCTATTTCTACTACAATTCTAGTGTTTCCAAGTGTAATTCATTTATGTTTTCCAACAATCATGGAGCACAGACACTGTTAGTAACCCCGTTTCAGAGATGGGAGAATTTAAACACGGACAGTTTGAGTAACTGACGACTATACAGCAGAGTAGACCCTTGCACCAGAATTCAAGACCATGTGTTGTAGAAATAATACAATCCCGATTTTAAAAAAATAAGTATATATTGTCAGAACGATGCACACCCAAATTTTAACTGT